TGTGGAATTTTCTTCTGGCTTCTTGCATCGCAGTCAATTTTGCTATTCAAAAAATTAAATGCAATCTCAATCGTTATCGTCTCTCTTCTTCATTCTTGTACTTTTATTGTCCTCTCTCCTTAATAGTAGATTTTCTCATATTCTCTAACCTTCAGTAACTCCTTTCGTCCTAGTAATTTTATTGCCTTTGATCTCCAAAAAATTAAATGCAATCTCAATCGTTATCTTCCCTCTTCTTCCTTCTTGTTCTTTTATTGTCCTCTCTCTTTAATATTATTCTTCTCATACTTCCTAACACTCAATGGCTTTATTGCCTTGCTTGTGGTGAAATGATTAAAAAAAAAAACAAGGACATTGAAAAATTTAACTTCGACTACTCCCTGAGGGCATACCCATCCCACTAACATCCACCTACAAATTAAATATATACATTTGGTTGGCACTGGAAAATCTTGCTAATAGTTACCTCGTGTAGGACGATATCCTAACGCATAACAATAAGGGCAGTGTTTAAGTCATTGAATATGTGAGGATCGGACACGTCCTTAGTCATCCGGATAATTGTTGATAGTGATCGACTGTAAAGTTTCGATATTTGCATAAGTTGGACCTAAACATATGCAGTCTTCCAATGGATAAATTGTCTAAATGAAATTAAAACTGGCATCTCAGTTTAACAGAAATATTTATCAAAATTACACAAGCATATCTTGAAATAGTAAAGAGTAAAAATCGCAATTGCTTCAACGACGACATCCAGACATCCTGTAACTCTTCTGGATGCTCTCCTTGTTTATGTTGGTTAATGCTGTCATAATCCTTGACTTCAGTTCATCTTTGGTGTTAAAAGAAGTTTGTTGATCTGTCGGTCAACTGCACCCCCACACATAATAATCAAGGGGGTGCAGTCTGGCGGAGTTAGATAGCCAGATGTAAGTGGTGATGTGGTTGCAGAAATCGTCTGACAGCCATGACCAGATTCTCCGGCTTGTGCGGCATGGTGCAGAGTCCTATTGTTCTAGCAGCCACCCACTTTACCCAGAGCAACACTACAAGGCATTTGATGTAGGCCTTCGTGTTAAGTCTGAGGCCCTCACCAACAAATTCGGGAGTTCTTTTCTTATCAGAAAGATCAGAGGGAGTTTTACGCGCTTACGTACCTTCGTAATCACCTTTAGACTCATCCAACTCTTTCCGAATCCGCTGCGCTGTCTTCAGATTGACGCTATATTGTGCAGTCGGCAAAATAAAAATACGCAACTCGCATGCGCGAAATTAAAAATATAAAAAACTTCCTCGTGATTGGATCTTTCAAATTTTTTTTTTCTGTTTTCTATGCATATTTAGTTATTATGCATCTATGCACAGTTGATTATATTAAAGTTATACATATTTATTAGTTGTATATATATATATATATATATATATATATATATATATATTAAACGTTTATCCATAATTAAACAGACATTCCGCTAATATTCACTAAAAATGTTTCAGGTGTTAAAATATGTGAGATTGATAAAAAAAAATCCATTACGACTTTTATATATATATATATATATATATATATATATATATATATATATATGTATGTGTGTGTGTGTGTGTGTGTGTGTGTGTGTGTGTGTGTGTGTGTGTGTTGCACATTGAGTGCTGAAAGTCAAATTAGTACTTGATGCAAAATGTGAGAATTAAGTACTATATTAAAAGTTGTTCTATCTATACTAACTGTAGTCTCACACGCGTGACAATCATAAATTTCTTTACTTTGTATTAATTTGAAGTCTTATGATTGCCACGCACATAAAACTTTTAGTAGCATTAAGGAACAACGATATGAATTTTTAAACATTTATATTCATTTGCCTCGTTTGTTGCTTTTCACTTCTCTTTCCTGCCTTCAGTCAAATAACAGGTTAGATTGGATTCTTATGAATAACGGAATAATTCTGGATTAGCGCTGCAACGGATCTGAAAGTATCTGTCTATTGGGAGATCACCGCCCTCTGTGGCATCAGGTTGAAATCATAGACGAAGAACACCATTGGAAAATTCGTAAACTTTAGGAATCAGCACATATGCTAGGCCACAAAAATCTCCTGAGCCGACCAAGCATAGAAATTAATACAATATGGGAACCATTAATAAGGAGTGCCAGAGAAAAGCAATAATAACAACAAAAATTGCAATATGAGCTCTGGTAAAAACATGCAATGATAAAAGCAAAAATTGCAATATAAGCACTGGTTAAAAAAAAACAGTTGCTGCGACATTAGGTTTATAATACCCAGAAATTCATACACAGATGTCAAGTCCTAAAGGCGTTGGTTAGATCCAGTGACAGGACCCCAAAAAAGTCTGAGCTCAATACCTGGTTAACGCAGTGGAGAACTTGGAGAAGGGAATTAACAGAAGATAACTGATAAGTGACATCCATTAAACATGGCACGTGGAACTAGAACAGTCTACCCCAGTGAGCGAAATAAAGGATTCAGTTCGACAATCCAACCACGTGAAGAAGGTCGGAACGTACGACGGCCGAAACGTTGCAATAAATATGGCGACAAAGATGAGGACAATAGTCCGAATAATGTAATTAGTGTAGGACCCGAAAGTGTTGAAAAGGAAACGAGCAGGAACTGCTCCCCTATATTTCCCAAGATTATAATGAAACGGAATACGTGGTAAGCCATAATTGCTTTTGTTCTGAAGAGCTATGAAGGATATGTCATTATATATATATATATATATATATATATATATATATATATATATATATATATAAAATATGGAAAAAAATATATATATATAAATGTGTGTGTGTGTGTGTGTGTGTAATTTCTAACAAATCAATAGACTATTATTTCTTACTAATCCAAGCGATATTTTATGAGGGGTTTGTTTGTTTTGATTTCCCAGCCTGCGCAATAAGGAAACGGTGGCTTCTCCTACAATTAAGTTTCTCGGATGCGCAGCCCAGTAAATAGATCCTGGCCATGACGATAAGCTACAACCGGCAGCAAGGCCACTGATCGGGAGATTGGAGGTTTTGAGGAGCCTGGAACCCCCAATTAATTGCTGTTGTTACCAGGTCCACCGTGGCCCAACGTGGTAGCACCTGCTAGGGTACAAGCTATGGGCAAATATTGAGTCCCACCAAAAGAAAGACAAAAACACTTTGAAATTATAAAAATACATTTTAATAGTAAAATACCAGCAGTACCTTTTTATATAAAAAGACCGACAATACTCAACAATAAATTTTATCTAGTTGGAGGCAGATAATTGCGTTCAAAATATTAAATTGAAGCCATAAAATTTGTTCAAAATATTTAGATTTCGGCATTAAATAACCCACAGATGTGCTTATATGTCACTAAACAAAGCCAAACACCCATGAACTTTCATGACATTAATCCATATAATAACCTACAATTTCTAAATCAAACTGTATTCCAAAACATAACTTAAAAGAACATAAAAAAACGACTCTCCGCTTCTAGTAATTATATCTACACAACTGTATATACACAAAAGCTAAGTATCATCTACCATGTATTCAACTGTGAAAGCAGAATAACACGTCATATTTTTATTACTTCAAATTTCCTAAGAAAATTAAATTTAAGTATTAAATGATCCATAAGTTGATATACTGTTAAACAAATCAACAAAATAACGTTTAGAGTAGTAGAAAATAAATATATATATATATGTATGTGTGTGGGGGGGTGTTCCTTTCTTTATGGAATCTTATATAATAAATAAAACTGACCGTAAAAAAGTATTTTAGCCTTGCTTTTAAATAAGTTTATATGATCTTTGTTGATTTCGAAGCGACAAATCGCTTTTACTGCCAGTCGTTACACGTACGTACCATCCCCAGTCACTGAAATCAAAAGAATTACTCCACTTCAAGAGGTCATGGGAATGAGGTTAGGCAAATACCGAGTTATTTCTGATGACCAAAGAAAAAAAAAGTTCCAAATAGAAGGCATAAAATAAAATGATATAAAGGGAGACTTTAGAAAAGATGGTGTTTTTGGAAAGTGAACTCTTTCGTAATATGAAGCTATCGTATATAAAAGAGAAGCGGATAGAGGTAACTAACTCATTTGTTGTTCATATCTTTGGGCATCATGTGTGTATCATCAAAGTTCTTATCGCTAAAGGTTCCAAATAATGTTCAATATCCGAAGAATATTGCTGGCAGATTTTTTTTTTTTTTATAGAAATGAAATGTGTATTTGATGGCTTGGAATTTCTGCTAAGCATTCAAGAGACGCCTGACTAAAGTGAAAGTCTGCTGTTTCTCAAAAGAGCTAGAAAATGCTACGTCACTTGGCAAAAACTGTCGGTCATGTTGAGTGATAACTTTCGAAAAAGTTCGAGATTATTTTTTCATCGACTGATTCTGCATTCTTTATACATATTTGAAATTTGAATGCATCGTATTCATCGAATTAAAATTGATTCTTCCATTGTAATATGCATTCAAATATATCCAAAGCCAGACATATTGAAACAAATGGAATTATTTTTTGTCTGCTATAACATAGATTACAGAGAATATAATTCCTTGCAAAATTATAATTCCTTGCACTTTCCAGCTGTTTCTCTTGAAATTCCAATATTCTGATTGTTTTCTGTCAGCACAGAATCAGTGAGGCAGTAGAAAAAAATACATCTCAAGGATGATCGCATTAGATATTTTAAAGGCCTTTGACAAGATGTGACATAGAGGACAACTGCACAAGTTCTCCAGTTATAGAATCACTGGAAGAGTCTTCTCAGTTATCAGGTCCTTTTTAAAGGTAGTTGCTAACGGCCAGTCGTCCTAGGCCCAAGTCATAGCTAGGGAAAAAGAAGTGAATGCATATCTTTCCCAGGGGTATTTGCGCGTAAACGAATATAAAAACCCGACTAGAATTGGAACTCGGCTCTCCAGTTTCAAATTCCGAACCTTTATCCATTAAACCCTCGCACATTCAAGCTTACAGATACTGGTATTCCCAAGCGGTTTCCCATCTAGGTACTGACCAGGTTCGACGTTGCTTAACTTCGTTAATCATACGAGAACCGGTGTTTCAACGTGATATGGCCGTAAGCTACAAAATGTCTAGAAATGCTTCAGTAATTTAATATTAACGAAAATGTAGCCTACCTAGAGTACTAGCGCCTTAGCTAAAGTACTCCACTAATAAATTCTAAATCGTATTAGTTGACTATATCCATTAATGGTTCAAAGTTTGGGACAGTCACCAATCCATTCAATGTAGCTCTACATTCATCACTAAAAATTATAGTTGATAAATAATCATTCAAGTACAACTTGTGAGTTTTTCTTTGTGATGTTTCCTTAAAAGCGGTTGTTTTGTTGCCTTCATATGTTTAGTCAATGGAGAAAACTCAGTTGAAACTTAGAAATGCCCAGCAAATTTCATTAGTGTCATATGCCGTGGGCATCTCGAGGCAGTGAATAGTGAGTTCGATCCTCACTGGGTGGCCCATACTTTCGGCCTTGTGCCACATCTAATCAAAATCAATAGTGTCATGTGCCGTCAAGGATTTAAAGGTTAATACTGATTGAAGACTCGTACATTAATCCCAGCATCCATCATCATTAAAAAAGAAATTTAAAATTATAGATAGTCATCAACCATCTTTTCGCGTTCTCTTTAATCTTGTCCACAGTTTGAAGTTTATTCAGCGGGGATTTTTAGCTTTAGGTAAAGGCAGTCATTTCAGGAATCTAAACATGACTGTAGGAAGGAGTTGATAGACATGAGTGATGTAATGATGATTTCCGAAGCGTAGCTATGATGTGACACAAGGCCGAAAGTACGAGGCACCGAACGAGGATCGAACTCACTAATCAGTCGTAATTGTTCTAGCTTGCTAAGCATTACATTATTAGTTTGTTTTTTTATATATATATATATATATATATATATATATATATATATATATATATGCACAGTTAATTATATTAAAATATGTTAAAAGTTATGTTTATTTATTAGATGGAAATACAATAAAATTAAAACTTTGTATGTGTACGAATATTTGTTTCCTATATATATATATATATATATATATATATATATATATATATATATATATATATAATCATTGATCTTATTTATATACATATATGTTTATACATATATATATGCATATATATATATATATATGTATATATACCAATATTATCATTTATCTTCCTTTATATATATATGACATTTATCTTGTATATATATATATATATATATATATATATATATATATACATTTTAGACATTTATCCATATTTGATTAGACATTCCGCTATATCCACTAAAATAAGGTTTAAAGTCTTAAATGTATGTGAGATTGATAAAAATCCATTACCTTTTTATATATATATATATATATATATATATATATATATATATATATATATATATGAGTGCTGAAAGTCAAATTAGTACTTGATGCAAAAATGTGAGAATTAAGTACTATATTAAAAGTTGTTCTATCTATACTAACTGTAGTCTCACACGCGTGACAATCATAAATTTCTTTACTTTGTATTAATTTGAAGTCTTATGATTGCCACGCACATACAAACTTTTAGGAACATCGTGCATTAAGGAACAACGATATGAATTTTTAAACATTTATATTCATTTGCCTCGTTTGTTACTTTTCACTTCTCTCTCCTGTCTTGAGTCAAATAACAGGTTAGATTGGATTCTTATGTATAACGGAATAATTCAGGATATGTGCTGCAACGGATCCGAAAGTGTTCAGAAGGAAATGAGCAGGAACTGCTCCCCTATATTTCCCAAGATGATAAAGAAACGGAATATGTGGTGAGCCATAATCGCTTTTGTTCTGAAAAGCTATGAAGAATATGTCATTATATATAAGACAAGCTTGCTAATCATTACCCCACCCCGCCTCGGGATGCCCTGATCTGCGTAAGAGTATACTCCATTTGATCATACAATAGTATATGGATGCGCCCCCCCCCAATTCTAGATGACCAGAAATTAGCAGCTAATATCTCTTCTGGTCTAGATTTAAGAGATCAGTGGGAGAAAAACTGGCTGATCATATTTAATGGGTCGAAAACCGACCTGGTGACGTTCCATCATCACTGAGCGAATCCTGAATTTTCACCTGTTTTCACCATGTACCGGTGTTCGCTCAGATAGGCCCTGTGCTTTCAACAACTATTGGGAGTTAAACTCAACCGAGGTAGAACTCACAAATACAGGCCATCGCTTAAGATACTGCAAAAATGATCGGTCCCAGTACTGATTCAGTAAATATCTGCTTTTATCAAATCCAGATCAAGCCTAGAATGGAATACTGCTGCCATATATGGGAAGGGACTTTCCAGACTTCATTTTCCAGTCCTTGTGAATGATAAATTATTTCCTACCCTACAAGCTTCTTTTCCCACAGACGAAACGACGCAAACTTCACGCTGCTATCTCGCAATGTTCATGGAAAGTGTTCAGAACTACATTCCTTACTTCCACCGGTTCTAACCTTGTAACCAACCTCATTCCCTAATTGGTGAGATGTAAGTTCTACCCGAGCAGCTTCTGCCCACGAATTGCTATTTTGTAGAACTAACTCGCAAGAGGATGTGTCCCAGATCACGACAATCATAACTTGTTCAAGTCTAGAGTTAATCGTTATCTTCTCCACATATCCTTATAAACAGTACCCGTTACTCTGTATCACTCTACCTCAAGCAACTCTTGGGTTGTACAGAGTGAGCATTAATTTTAAACGTTTCCCTTCGTTATCCCTCCAATTATTTGTTTATTTGTACAATGTTCACCCTGAGTTGTGGATTCCGGGGATGGAATCCTGCACAAATAAATAAACAACGCCAGTAATTTAAATAGAAAAATATGTATATTAAACGTAAAAATACAAACTTGAAATGAAGATTAGTAGTCCAGGAATGCGGGTTAGTAGAAAAGTATATGTACAAGTCTCTGTAATTGAAGCCGTAATTATCTCTCTTTCTGGACTCTCGTATAACTCTGGGTGAACACTCTGTCTTGACGTTTTTGTCACGCTATTTCTCCGTAGTATAAGTATACTTTGGGCGAATCCATCTTGTTTACAAGGGGCGATCCCCACAATACCCTGTACGAGACCCGAGAGCTACTTGAGGTGGAGAGTTACAGAGCCGTCCATTTACACAAGCTCTTTAGATAAGTCACTCGCTGTTCATGTCTGCCCTTCTTTGAGGGTCTAATTTTCCAAAACCTCTTTCATCATTATTTATCCCAGAAAATTCTATCTCTTTCTGATTTCGTTACTATTTTCCTCCGTACTTCCTCATTGCTCACATGTTCAGTGGATGGCATTCTTGGCATCCTTTGTGAAACTACATCGTTGTTTTATCTGTGAAGAAATTGTCCTGTATTCGCTGGCATATAGGAGAATTGCTATTACATAATAGCCCAGTAACTCTTTTTTTTTTCTAACGAAATGTTCCTTCAGTATCTGTCTCTATTTCTGAGATGAGGTATTATGTACACTATTTACATTATTCGGACTATTGTCCTCATCTTTATCACCATATTTATCACAACATTTCGGCCCTTCAGTATCTGTCTCTATTTCTGAGATGAGGTATTATGTACACTATTTACATTATTCGGACAATTGTCCTCATCTTTATCACCATATTTATCACAACATTTCGGCCCTTCAGTATCTGTCTCTATTTCTGAGATGAGGTAATATGTACACTATTTACATTATTCGGACTATTGTCCTCATCTTTATCACCATATTTATCACAACATTTCGGCCCTTCAGTATCTGTCTCTATTTCTGAGATGAGGTATTATGTACACTACTTACATTATTCGGACAATTGTCCTCATCTTTATTACCATATTTATCACAACATTTCGGCCCTTCAGTATCTGTCTCTATTTCTGAGATGAGGTATTATGTACACTATTTACATTATTCGGACTATTGTCCTCATCTTTATCACCATATTTATCACAACATTTCGGCCCTTCAGTATCTGTCTCTATTTCTGAGATGAGGTATTATGTACACTACTTACATTATTCGGACAATTGTCCTCATCTTTATTACCATATTTATCACAACATTTCGGCCCTTCAGTATCTGTCTCTATTTCTGAGATGAGGTATTATGTACACTATTTACATTATTCGGACTATTGTCCTCATCTTTATCACCATATTTATCACAACATTTCGGCCCTTCAGTATCTGTCTCTATTTCTGAGATGAGGTATTATGTACACTATTTACATTATTCGGACAATTGTCCTCATCTTTATCACCATATTTATCACAACATTTCGGCCCTTCAGTATCTGTCTTTATTTCTGAGATGAGGTATTATGTACACTATTTACATTATTCGGACTATTGTCCTCATCTTTATCACCATATTTATCACAACATTTCGGCCCTTCAGTATCTGTCTCTATTTCTGAGATGAGGTATTATGTACACTATTTACATTATTCGGACTATTGTCCTCATCTTTATCACCATATTTATCACAACATTTCGGCCCTTCAGTATCTGTCTCTATTTCTGAGATGAGGTAATATGTACACTATTTACATTATTCGGACTATTGTCCTCATCTTTATCACCATATTTATCACAACATTTCGGCCCTTCAGTATCTGTCTTTATTTCTGAGATGAGGTATTATGTACATTATTTACATTATTCGGACTATTGTCGTACAACGGCCGAAATGTTGTAATAAATATGGCGACAAAGATTAGGACAATAGTCTGAATAATGTAAATAATGTGTGAAATGTTCCTGTTCATGAATATTTTGTCTAGCTTATGGAAGGCATATTCCGCTATTCTCATGCACCTTCGAATTTCGGTGTTACATTTTTAAATCTTTGTACTTGCTTGATTCTAACGTTTCCAATTTCTAACTCGTATCTTGGGCTCTCCTTCTTGCCAACGACCATCAATCTTGTCCTCTTACAATTGATGATTAGTCCTTTCTTTCTGCTTTCTCTGGGCGTTCTTGTAGTTTTCTTTTTGTGTCTGTTGTGGCTGCCATCTGCGTATCTTGTGCTGTTACAATTGTGTCAATCAAGAATATTAGACATTTTTAAACAACAGTCTTTAGAAACATAGATGTTTCGAAATTGGAAACTTAATTTCCTCCCCCATCCAAGCCAGATCCCCTACTGTCATCATTTCTCTTATTCGCTTTTATTCTTCTTTAACTGCTTTCAATTCTAATGCGATGGGAAATGATGTATTTCTATGGTTATCAAGTTAACTTCATAAATATTTTAAGTGAAGTCAATCCTCCCCTGTGCACCCTATTATTGTGGCCAAAAGTCAGAAAAATATTATATTATAAATATACACGTGGACGCCTACTGTAGAGCCATAGTTAACAAACTAATTTTTAAGTGTAGTGAGTATCCTACTATTATAGTCTTGGACCAGGCAATGTTTGTGTAAATACACCCATGTGCAAATTAATTGAAACAAATTCGTTAATTTCCTTTCTTTCACCATTCGATCAGTTTTAGACCCACTGGAAAGACAGGGCGTAATCGGATTTGATTTTTTCCTCAGATTTGCATTTGCATTGCATCTGTTTTCCGGTGCATGATTAAATTTCTTTGGCCTTGAAAAATATTGCGTCATCCGTGATTGCATCAGATTTTTATCCTGCCCACACACTATTGTCTCGACTGTCGATTAGTTGCCCTGCAGCCATTGTCTGCGATGGAATTTACTCCAAGGAAGCATACGAAAATTGTACCACTGCACGAAAACGCAGGCAAGCCTTACCAGTGAGAAAATCAAAGTACTATCGACTGGCTCGGAAACTCTTGATTTAAATCCAATCGAAAATCTGTGGTCAACCTGCAAGGAACGACTTCGTGGAATGGACATACGAAGTTCTAACATATACACTGGGTCATGTTTCATTGGAAAAATACGAAAAGAAAATAAGTAATAACGGAATGATTCGTTTTATTTCAATTCATTTGCACAAGAGTATATATTAAAGGAACACCGATCTTAGAGAAAAGGTTAACAAGTTCGTCTCGCCGACCATTTTCTTTGGTTCCTATTTGATCTAGGACGAACTAAGGTGCTTAAATATTTTTTATGATATTGTTTCTACATCGATCTCTAAATTAAGAGAAAAAATACTTCCGCATATCAGCAATATCGTTTGTCTTACAGATATCAAAGCGTCCTGGGTATGACGATAAACTACGTCCAGCAGCAAGGCCTCTGATCAGAAGGTATTGAGGAGTGTGGAACCACCTCTTAATTGCTAGTGTTCCTAGGTCCACCCTGACCCGGGGTGGTAGCACCTGTTAGGGTCCCAGCTATGGCCAAATAGTTAACCCCGAAACTGAGGTAAAAAGCATTATGAAAGTGTAAAAATAGGTTTTAATACCAGAAATACTTTATAAAAAATTATTACCAGAAATAAATTTTTGAATAAAAAAATACTACTACGAGCAATACATTTAAAAAAATTATATTACCAGCAATACGTTTGGGAAAAAAATACCAGCAATACATTTTTAAAATAATATTACCAGCTATACAATACATTTTTGAGGAAATAAATATTACCAGAAATAGATTTGACAAAACAAAATATTACCAGGAAAAAAAATAGTTGTCGGCATTAAATGACCCATTGAGGTTGATAATCCGTAAAACAAAGCAAACCAAACCAAACGATACAGATGTCATCAATACTTTGTCTTTTTGATTTCATAAATACTTTTGTCTTGATGATATTTTAATAACTTAATGGTTGCCGATTCCATAAATATTTTTGCTTCGCTGAATTTATCGGTACCGTTTCCTTATTGATTCCTTTTCCTTGATGTTATCAATGTCTTTTCCTTACTGATGTTTACGATACGTTTGTTTGCTGATGTTAGCAAAACCTTTGCCTTTTACTCTATAAATATATATTTTCATTGCTGAGGTTCTCAGTATATTTGTTTTGCTGATTCCATATATATTTTTGTTCACGCGATCAATATTTTTTGCTAATGTCACCAATATCTTTGTCTAGATGCTGTCACTTATTTCAATTCTTTAAAACCTGATATTCTTTTAAAGCTGATATTCTTACTTTCAATAAATTTAGATATTCTTCAATTGTCTCCATTCCTGCTTCTAATGTTTATTTTATTATTAATCGATAGCTGACTTTAGATCCGAATTCAGCTGATCACATTTTGTTAAAGTACCGATATCGATCATTGATTAAATATGAAACTAAAGACTGAAATTATATACATCGTAACGTCATCAGTAATTCTCAAATGAAATTAGGGGTCAACATTTCTAAAAAAAAAAAAAATGGGGAAGTGTTTTATTCCACTCATTTGTGTCCAAATAGAAGGAAATGGGCCAACTTTTTACATTTTTTTAAAATTGGGATGGAGCCTGACCGTAACACGACCACACCTGCCCAGGGCCTACAAATCACTAAAAACGAAAACGTATTCCAAATAACATCAATATTCACCAACAAATCTTCTCCAAAATGATGAAATTCATAGTTCTACTTACACAATATTGAGTCTACACATTAATTTCCAAAACAATATGGTATTTTGGAGCTGAAATAAGCCAAATTTCAGGAGACAAAAGGGGGAAAAATTTACTATTTTGAATTGAAATCACCGAATACTTCAACATTACATTCTATCGAGATACGCTATCGGACAAAAGTGTCCATATTTAAACATCTCAGGCCATTATAAAGAACAAGGAAGAATGGTCAAGGGGGTTTTTGGTGACACCAACTCACACATGTTTAAAATGACATCATGACTTTGAAAGTAAAACATGCCACACATCTTAAAGCGCATTCAATATATTTCACTTCAAGGTACAATTCCCATGCCTGTACCAGTTGATTATTTGATAGTGTATCTGAAACAGTATTCCTTAGATCATCAAAATAGTGAAGCAAGGCAGCAGCACTATATCCAAGAAGACCAAAACGTCTTTCTGTATATATTGCAACCTTTATCTTTTTAACAACTTTATTCAAAACATCATCAAATTCTTCATAGATTGATGTCTAATGACCATCATTCAATACAAGTTTACAAAATGCATCAATTACAGCAGGGATTAAACTTTTTGACATGAAAGATTTCAAAGATGGCATTGTTTTGATTATTTTTTCCTTTAGTTCAAATTTTTTCTCGACATGGAAGAATGGTCAAGGGAGTTTTTGGTGACAGATAGGTTCCCTGCGTCAAACATCTCACTAGTGTGGCTCATGCAAGGAAGATGTAGGGGTATGTACTGTGATAGAAGGGTTGCAGCTACCAAGTTTTCAATCTCCAAATTCTTGGAAACTGAATCTGTCATGGGGGCTGTTATTTTACCAAAAATGGGTCTATTTTAGCTTAAATATTTTCCTAATTTCTGTGAAAGCTTTGTAGAAATAACATATAACCACATAGTTAATCATTTGAATCAAAATCAGCAAAGTTTGTGGCTCATTTTTAATGTTTTGTGGAATACGTTTTCCTTTTTAGTGATTTTTGGGGCCCCGGGAATGTCTGGACACGTTTTTAGTCCGGCTACATCCCAATTTTCAAAAATTTTCAAAAAGTTGGTCCATTTCCTCCTATTTGGACGCAAATGAGTAGAATAAAACACTTCCCCATTTTTTTTTTTTTTAGAAATGTTGGCCCAACCCTTATGATATACTTATAAATTTATTTTTAAAAGATGTGACAAATCTTGTAGAATCTAAGAAACTAAATGTTCATAGATATATATTTTGTTACTAAGCTAACATGTTAATAAGAGATTGCGAAAAATGATAAAGAGACGCCATATGAGCAAGAAACCTTTTAAAATTAGTATTAGCAACGATTGGCTATAAACGTATCAGGAATATCCAAACGTAACATATTCAATAACATGATTTAACCAAGGAGACCATTTGGCGTCGATGAAAAGACATCATGTGATTTGACAACGCCTAGTCGAATGAAGGCAATGTACGTGGGCTAAAGTAAGCCACATAAGTAGTAGGAGAAGAGTAGCAGCAAGAGGTTAACGAGTTGAGAGAAGAGAGCAAACCAGCGGGAAAGAGAGACGTCTTCAACAGTGCAGCCTGAGATGGTAGGTTTTCACCCAGGTGGTCTTCTCTGGGCGATTGAAATAATTAGACGATGTATAGAGAAGAAACTTTGTCTTTTTATCCGTTTTCCGTTTTGCATACTCTAAATAAGAAACTCTTTATTTCTCTCTCTCTCTCTCTCTCTCTCTCTAACCCCCTCTCTCACTCCCATATACCTATTTCTATCTCGCTACCCCCTCTCTCTCTCTCTAGATATCTACCTATCTCTTTCTCTGTTTCTCCCTTTTATAAAGAAAATGGAGTCTCTTTCTTTATATCACATAAAGAAAATGAGAACGTCCCTCTTCTCTTTTTCTCTCACTCATGAAGAAAATAAATCTTTCTCACTCTCTCTCTCTCTATCTCTCTCTCTCTCTCTCTTTATTTTTCATGAGTAAAAATAGAAAATTTGTATTTCTCTTTCATAAAGAAAAGGAGAGAATCTCTTTCTCGCAGTGTTTCTCTCCTTCTCATAAAATAAAAATTCTCTTTTTCTCTCTCACACAAAAAAGCAAGAAAATCTCTCACTCTCTTTCATTCTCTCTCTCTCTCTCTTTATCTCATAAAAAGAGAAATTTTCTGTTTCTCTCTCTCATAAAGAAAAAAGAAGTCTCTCTCTCCCTCTCCCTTATCTAAAAAGTCTCTCTCTCCGTTTCTCTGCCTCTCTTATAAAGAAAAACAGAAGTCTCTCTCTCATAAAAGAGAAAGCCACTTTCACTTTTTTCGCTCTTTTCTTAAAGAAAAAGTCTCTCTCTACGTTTCTCTCCCCCTCTCATAAAGAAAAAGAGAATTCCTCCCCTCTCTCTCTCTCTCTCTCTCTCTCTCTCTCTCTCTCTTAAAAGAGAAAATAATTTTCACTTTTACGCTCTTTTCTTAAAGAAAAAGTCTCTCTCTCCGTTTCTCTCCCTCTTTCATGAAAAGAATTCCCCCTCTCTCTCTCTCTCTCTCTCTCTCTCTCTCTCTCTCTCTTAAAGAGAAAATAATTTTCACTTTTACGCTCTTTTCTTAAAGAAAAAGTCTCTCTCTCCGTTCCTCTTATTCTCTCATAAAAGAGAATTCTCTCTCCCCACTCTCTCTCTCTCTCTCTCTCTCTCTCTCTCTCTCTCTCAAAAGAGAAAGTCACTTTCACTTTTTTCTTTCTTTTCTTAAAGAAAAAGTCTCTCTCTCTCTCTCTCTCTCTCTCTGTGTGTGTGTGTGTGTGTCTGTGTCTGTGTTTCTCTCCCTCGCTCATAAAGAAAAAGAGAACCGTGTCATCTATTTCTGAAGTCCTACCACTTAGACGAGATCACTGGCCATCAAAGAACGAAAGAAGACGTGAAAATCTAAAGTATGGCATCTGATAATACAAGTGGTAATTAAGAAGCATCTGATTATATTACATCTAATGCCGTATCCTAGCCGATCATATTACATCAAGGAATATAGAACGTAATTGACTTATAAAAGCAGGCGAGATTTTCCCGTAAGCCAGGGTTGACAACTGAGTTTCTAAATAGTGTATTACAGTTTCTAATTCTGCATGTGCAGTCTAGCCTCGTAGGGAGTTAACCTTATCGCGGCTTCAATCTCTATTCTGGAATATTCCTCAACCTTAGTAGATATCACTGTAACTTTTGCTATCAGTTTATTTATTACTGCTTTATTTGTATCCGCCTTTGGTCTCTTGAGTTATCACAATGCTGGAAATGGGAAAAGACCAGCCACTTCATAAAATGAGTGCCTTTGAAACCCATTTTATTTATATATTGATTAGTTTTCTTCATTGAAGGCAATAGAGAAAGCGTTTGACTTCTTGAAACCATGGCCGTATGTGTGCCTTCCAAGATCAGTTTATTTCATCTCACTTAGACCCTCCTATAATCTCATCTGAAAATATCATACCACCTACACCATGTTAATGTTTCAATCAGTGTAGTAAAGTTTCCGTTAGTAAACATCCAGCCTATACTCAATCCGTATGTCTCGGCGAGCAGTCGTCGGTGAAAAAAATCGATCTTCATGCGTTCTGAGCCGTTTTCTCAGTGCAACGTTCGGAACCATTTTTCCAGTCAGCGTTCTGGGCCGTTTTCTCAGTGCAACGTTCTGAGCCGTTTTCTCAGTTCAGCGTTCTGAGCCGTTTTCTCAGTTCAGCGTTCTGAGCCGTTTTCTCAGTGCAACGTTCTGAGCCGTTTTCTCAGATCAGTGTCTAAAAGGAGTTTCAAGCGAATGAACTAAGTATTAATGATCTCCAGACTAGGGTTATAGTTTAACAAATAAAGAATTTTACCAAATAACAACCACATCGCTTTTAAGACTCTCAACTGGCTTTTTGTTCTTTACAATAAGAGTTTTCTTTATTGTTAAATTCTTATTTGCAGTTGAAGTTACATATCAAAATTTGTGTATGTATATATATATATATATATATATATATATATATATATATATAGGTATGTATGTATGTATATATATATGGTATGTATACGCATGATTGCCATTCCTTCTTAATCAAATATATATATATATATATATATATATATATATATATATATATATATATATATATATTAGTGTATATATATATTGTGTGTATATATATATATATATATATAGGTATTTTGTATATATATATATATATTGAGTGTATATATATATTGTGTGTATATATATATATAGGTATTTTGTATATATATATATATATATATATATATATATATATATATATATGCACATTTCATTGAATACGACAGAGAAGGTGCTTTTATTTAGTTTTTATACAATTTCTCATGCGATCTAATATTTTTTTTCAGATGATAAATTATATAAAAACCCTCCAAATGTTCTTTTAATCCGAGTGCTTTCGGATATACATTTAGCCATTTTCAAGGATGAAATAATTTAAATGTTAGATAAGAAATAGTTTGTTGCATGTATGTATTCATATAATGTTTTCATTTTTCAAAACACGGTCAAGATATTGTGTCCATGTTCATAGTTGATATTTTTAAGTGTTGTTTTTTTTTGTTTTTATTACTAAAGATTCCATGATTTTACGCTTTTTTTGCATGTAGATGATGCTATTATATTTGTGTTGTCGACAAGTATGTTACTTAATAATTAAAAATGATTGAAAAATGCCTATCAGTTCCTTCCTACGGTCATTTTTAGATTCCTGAAAGCCTTCCTTAAGCTAATAATCACCGCTGAATAAACTTCAAATTGTGGACGAGATTAAAGAGAACGCGAAAAGATGGTTGATGGCTATCCATAATTCTAAAAAATGTTTTAATGATGAGGGATGAGGGATGCTGGGATTAATGTATGAGCGTTCAATGTAGTATTTTGATTAAGGCGCTATTACTCTAGGTAGGCTAAATTTTCGTTAATATTAAATTACAGAAGCATTTCTAGACATCTTGTTGCTTATGGTTCTCGTATGATCAACGAAGTTAAGCAACATCGAACCTGGTCAGTACCTAGATGGGTAACCACTTGGGAATACCAGGAGCTGTAAGCTTGGATGTGTAGGTCGTATAATTTCTGGCTTTTAAAACCTGCAAATTTTTGATAAGAAGTAAAAAAAAAAAAACCAAATGAATGAATCTTGACATTTTGCGATGTTGAATAATATATAATACTTGATTGAGATATATATATATATATATATATATATATATATAATACTTGATCATTCTGTAACATCAACACTTGATATAAATATCATTTATATTTCCAAATTTGCTTGAAACAAATTTAATTTTGTCCTGAGTTGAATTCTTTAAAATATCAAGCAGTGTAACTGAAAAGCTGTTGAAATATATGAACAAAAATAAACATTTTCATGAAGTTATGGGGTGTTATATATAACCCAACTTGTCTCAAGGAAAGTCAATTACCAAAATATTTCGCAGTCTTCATGCGCGCTTGTTATTGTGGACCAAAAAAAAAACTTACAATTTTTCCCTTTTAAAACAAATAAAGCCTTCTGAGATGGAAGGACTTAAAAACGTTTTACAACGTCCTGTAGAGTGTTAAAAACGAATTAAGAGAGATATAATATAGAGTCGCATCATTAGCAGATTCAGTGGACAGAAAGCTAGCTTTATTGTGTGGGAGGGGGATAAAAGAACTTACTTATCACTTTGGAACACTTGAGTGGATTGATTGAGACTTAGAAATGTCCACATATGTGGACATTACAAAAAATAAGTCCAAAAGAATTCTTTTGGCACTTGGGGTTTATGAAACGGGCTTTTATCCAAAACACAGTCGGGAGCAACGAAATGGCTAAAAAAAACGACGAATACCAACCAGACATAAATATTTTTCTATCGAATACACATCTTCCATAATAAGCACATAATATTAACAAATTCTTGCAGTACTCAATTATATCTATGTTATACAAAGTATAACATAGATATAATTGTCGCTGCCGACACTGGAGTTTGAACACAGATCACCAAAGAACAAACACAGGCGATCCTATTTTGAATGAGTAGATCACGTGATGGTAAAGGAAATGTGTATATGGCGTCTAAGTGATCACTCTCCGAATTACTTCGGAGGTGTGCTTGTCGAACTCTCTACTGCTGTGTAGAGAGGAACCCAGGCGAAGCTGCGCCAAAGGGCAGAGTCTCGTCTGGGGTGGTAGACAACCACCCGACCCCGTTTTTACGGGGTCTACGGGGAATTTTTGCCTGAGCCTTCGGGCTCGGATACACCACAATAAACTCGGCCTTGTGCCACATCGGACTGCGTGGGGCGGTTAGTGAATATCATCACTATCCGGATTACTTCGAAATTGTGCTTGTCAAACTCTTTGCCCGGAGGCAGAGAGGATTCCCAGACGAGGCTATAACGAAGGTCAGAGTCTCGTCTCGGGAGAAAGCTACCCGACACCGTTTTTTATGGAGTCTACGGGGAATTTTTAGCCGAGCAACTGTCTCCCATCGTTCTACGAGCGTGCTGGCGCCATTTTTCTAGACAATATCTTTTTTATGAAGAAGAAGTTTGTGAGACAATTTTCGACTGACTGTACAGAATCAAACTTTTTGTCATTTAAATTATTCTATGGAGACTGTAACAATTGCAAATCCGAAGGAGTCAAGTCAGAAGTATATTGGCGGGGGGCTGGATGGTTTCCCATTTCAGCTGCAAGGTCTGTTTTGCAACATGCATTCTTGCGTTGTCCTGGTGGAAAATGCCATCTTTTCAATCGGCTGTTTTTCTTGAACCCAAGTCTTTTCAAATGATGAAAAGCATTTCCATCGAAATCTTTGGTTTATTCTCCACGATGGCAAGCAGAACTTTTTCATCGATGTCGAAAGGTCACCCGGATCGTGGTTGATCGCTTAGTTTGAAATCAACCTGACGAAATCTGCCAAACCACTTTTGAGCTGGAGAATGATCCAAATAAAAATTTCTTTGCCGCATTTCCGAATTTCATCGAGCATAATATGGCGAATGTTCAACTCATTTGTTGACAAAACGTCAATATTCCACAAAAGCTGACTCTCAAATGAACGATGCAACATTTCCCAACAGAAAATGGCACCAAAAGAAATGCTAGTGTCAAGATGCCGTCATTTTATATTAACGGGGAAAACCAGACACGAACCCTTGGAATGTTAGTTTAAACATTACTGAAAGAGTTGGATATCGTACATGACATGAAAGTCTCGGTTTAATGCGGTTACTTAAGAACAAAAACCGACATTTCAGTTTAATATTGTCGTTTTGTAGCATCTTATGATGTTGAACAAAAGTACCCCCGACTGCAACCTATCCTTTGTTCAATTTCATAGGAATTAATCGAAAAAAAATTCTATACAAATATATTTATCGAACAGTTTCGATACAAACAACAATGAATTATCGAAAAGAAAATTCTAAAAACAGTTTCCTAAAATAAATTATTCAAACATTCGAGATCTTGCCCTTAAAGTGAACTGCAACGCGAAAGTTGTGCTTTTCCTTCATTCTTAAGATTTCTTAGATTATATCTGTAAACAACAGAAATAAACTAAAGATTAGAAAGAAATTTTGCAGAAACTGAAGATTTTATCACCGTTCTTTTAGGCCAATATATTTACAACAATGTTAAGATGAAAATCAAGCAAAAATTCTTGAAAATCCTATTAAATACGTTTTCCATAAATCGAAATTGCTGTCCGGAAAAAATAAATTAAGATTTATAACTGCGTTTAAAAATTTAATATACGTATTCTGTTTTAAATTTCTCATACCGATTATTTGACAAAATTCTCATAAAGAATATATTACGAAGCCGTGTTCTTTTTAGGAACTTATCAACAAAATCATTGCTTTGGAAGTTTAGCCGAAAGACGGGCAACCAAATAACGCACTCGCAATTTGACTTTTCCTTCTGTTAGGAATGTGGATTAAACATGTGTTGTTTACACCAACGAAATGACAGTGTCTGTTAAAAATAAATTCGTGAATAGGGTAAATGAATTGTTAACACAAATCACCTGTGCAATCTCAAATTTGACTTACAGTTTTTCCCTTTTACAAAACTTGTAGAGACTAACCTTGACCAACTTTCTTAACTTATTGATCGCTTATTGCATTTATATGAACTGAAATGTTCTGGGTCCGTTAACCATGAAAAAAGAAAACTTTACGCGAATATAGATTCTAATATTTTACACCATTTACATATTTTTCATTATCGGCATAAACATAACATATTGCATTTATTTCTAAAATAAACCACATTTCCACGCGTGTGTTTGATATATATATATATATATATATATATATATATATATATATATATATATATATATAATGATAAGAAACAAATGAAAACTACAGATAAAGTTCACTTTCTTCAGAAACAGTCATTCACTCCTGTTGATCACTGCTGCTAACAATCAGGTTTTTTTTTTCTCCTGATGATGGTTATGCTGGCCGAAACTAGTCGAGGAACCTAATTGAAATAATAAAACAAAAAATATTACATTATTTACATTATTCGGACTATTGTCCTCATCTTTGTCGCCATATTTATTACAACATTTCGGCTGTTGTACGCTCCGGCCTTCTTCAAGTAGTTGGAATGTCGAAAAAAATATTAATATACAACCCAGTGTGTCTGAAAATTTTAATTTTTTAATATTTTTTATTGTTCAAAACATATATATGTATGTATGTGTGTGTGTAAAAACTTCAGATATATTACATCTGTAAAAGGACAATTTGATAAAAAGACAAAAGGAAAACTTATCTTAGTCGACACGTTTCGTCCTCTGAGGGACTTTATCAAGGCAAATGTGAAGATTTTATTTTCTGACAAGTATTTATACACAAGAGCAAAAATGTTATTGGTTTTTTCAAACTTTTGGGTGTAGGGGTGCTCATGAATATGTATCACCTCACAATCATGAACTTGCCTGACTTTTTCGTTAATCTAGTGAACATTCATGAGTATCACTATAACAAAAATTATGAAAAAATCCTTACATTTTCCTTGATGAAGTCCTTAAGATAAGTTTTCCTACGATAAGTTTTTTTTAATTGATCATGTAGTCAGGGTTTTTTAAAAATTTGATTTCATTTGAGCTGTAAATATCTGAATAATTTTATTGTCTAGGCAAATGAAGCTAAACAGGCTTATTATTGAGCAAACTACGATTGATTCAACATTTGAATGAAAAATTCAAAGCTATGTACATTTCAGAAACGATTTCACAGCTTCTCACAAGTTTTCAATATACGCCCTGCCTGTGATACGACACACGTAAAGTCAGTAACCTAGCTCCTGCCTGACACGCTGCAGCATGTCTTGGGTAACAGTTTTCAGTGCAGCAGTGATTCTCTGCTTGAGTTCTAGTCTTGTAGAAAGTTTTGGAATTTTTTTTTCTGAAGTTTCTCTTGCATATTGCGCTTTTGTTTGCCATGTCCAAATTTGCAATTTCAGTTTTACAATTTTTCTATCTGTTACTTAAAATGGTTTGATCTATTTGATAAGTGTCGATTTTTAGAGGACAAAATGCATGGCTGTCAGCAAAATAAACATCCCCTAAAATGCAAGATGGATTGAAGATACCAAAATCAAACAAGTTTTTCCATAGGACGGAACGTGGAACAAGGAAATCCGAAGGCGCATTAGGACAGCGAAAGATGCCTTCTTAAAGCTAAGCAAAGTATTAGGAAACAGGAAAGTTTCCATATGGCAGTGAATGTATTTGTCTGTATTTCCTAGATGAGGTATTATGTACACTATTTACATTGTTCGGACTATCATCCTCATTTTTGTTGCCATATTTATCACAGCGTTTCGGTGTGAGTTCAATACCTGGTTAAGGCAGTGGAGAACTTGGAGAGGGAAATTAACAGGAGATAACTGATAACTGAAATCCATTAGACATGGCACGTGAAACTTGAACAGTCTACCCCAGCGAGCGAAATAAAGGTTTCAGTTCGACATTCCAACCACCTGAAGAAGGCCGGAGCGTACAACGACCGAAACGTTGTGATAAATATGGCAGTAAATACTGGACTGATGAAAAAGGGACTCGAAGCAATAGAAATGCGGTTCTAGCGAAAAATGCTGAGAATGCCTTGGACCGAACATGTGATCAACGATGAAGTTTTAGAGAAAATGGTAACAAAAAGGATACTTTTACTTAACATCAGAAAATGACAGCTGAAATTTCTCGGATACATAATGAGGAAAGAGGGCTTGGAAAATCTGATACTCACAGGACAGATTGAAAGCAAGTGGGAGAGAGAAAAACAACGCATAACCTGCCTAACAAGCTTGTGTAAATGGATGGTAGAACAGAGTTTAGAGGAGACAAAAAAATGACAATTTATTAAGAGCTACAATGGACAGGAAATTGTGGAGATCATCAGCCTCTTGAACGAACAGGGCATATAGGAGAAGATAGACGAGGGGGACAAATGAAACAAATTATCTCACCGAACGAGTTTTGATCATGAGATTCGATCATAAAATTGATTTTAAAAATTAATCATTCTGCAAAAGATTTCAGTAAATGACAGCCGATAAGCATAAAAAAAATAATAATTTTAAAAAGTTGTAAAACTAGCGAAAGATCTGCCATTTTTTAAGGGTTATTATTATCAATAGATGCAAAGTCTGACGAAAATTGTTTTTAAAACAAATCAAAAGGTTTGTGTGAGAAACAATGGCGTCAGAAAATGTTTTCTTTGAGAAAACGTTTGTTGTCTTTGGAATTTTCCTTTGGCAAAAAAAAAAGACTATTAATTATTCCTTTTCTCCATTTTCTATTCGCACATTTCTCTTTCTTTCCCTTTCATTTCTTCTTTTCGTCTTTTCTTTCTCTTTCCTTTATTCAATTTAATAGACACACTCATCCTTTTTTCGCTTCCATTGAAAAATTTTCTTACGCTTTCAGCTATATTTCTCTAGTTCTCGCTTTCTATTCTCCCTCTTCCTCTATTTTCTCCCTCCCTCTTCCTCTACTTTTCTCCTTCCCTCTTACTTTTTTTTATTTTCCTCTGTTGCTCTGTCTCGGCTATATAATATCTCTCTCTCTCTCAGATTCTATACTTTCTCTATTTCTAGCTTCCTCTTTCCTTTATGCTATTTTTCTCTTTCCATCTTTCGTTTCCTCCCTTATTTTTTTCTTAACTTTTTATTCGCTCTTTCTTTCTTATTTAGTTGTTAATTTAAATTTATTTCCGTCTATATGATGTGCGTCAATTAATCCGTTGTTTAGGATGAGCGTTTGTTCACTTTCTGGCAAACAACAGGGACGAAAGCAGTACTCATTAATGAAATACCTGTCACCAATACAAGCCAATTGAGCAACTTTGTGACATTCGTCTTCTGTCATCGCGACCAATTCCTCTTTCATTTGTTCATCCAAGCAGTGTGTGATATATATATATATATATATATATATATATATATATATATATATATATATATATATATATATATATATATATATATATCTTCATTTTTGCCCTCGGCTCTGATGTTTTAATTTCCCCCCTCTTTCCTCCCCTTGCTCTCTCTCTCTCTCTCTCTCTCTCTCTCTCTCTCTCTCTCTTTCTCTCTGCTTGTCTGCATTTCATTTTTACTCCTATCCATCGCTCTTTCTCCCTCTCTCTTTTCATTTTACACCCGTTCCTTTGTCTTCCTCTCCCTCTTCTTTTGATCTCTCTCTCTCTCTCCCTCTCTCTCAGCATAACGCTTCTCCCATCCCTCTGTTTCTGTGTCTGTCTGTCTGTCTCTCTATTTAGTTTAACTCCGCCACTATCTTTCTCTTGTTTCCGTCTCTCTTTTTCTAAGACTTTCTCTCTTTCCCATCTCAACATTTTCATTTTTCACCTTTTCCCTCCTCTCTCTTTATCTATCTATCTATCTATCTATCTATCTATCTATCTATCTATCTATTGCTTTATTCCACTAACAAGTAGACTGTCTTGTACTCCAGACAGTAAACTCACCTTCGTCTTAATGAGTTATCTTGTCCAAATCAAGTTGCACTTCTCTTTACCGATTTACCATCGACCATTCGTCGTTATAGCGGCCGTTGTCTTTGTTGTCAGCATCGTCTTCTGCTTCCTGTAACCATGACTGCTGTCAGCCTACCGGCCCACCTTGCCTTTTGCTTTCCGTTTTAAAGTAGATTGCTAGAGAATATCGCTGGTCGGCCGGTCATCATTTTTCTTCATCATCGTTTACCATTCTGATCTCTCCCGCTGTCACTGCTCTGGTCATTGGTGTCCTGATCGCTCGGAGGCCGGCATTCTTTAGCCTCTCCTCTGATTCGTTTCCTCACTCTTTGCTATTAGCTGCAACGTTACCTTCATCCGTTTTACAAATCTCTCTTCGACAGCGAATCACCCGTACTCAATTTATCTTCATTTTCATCTTACAATTTCCTTATTACTGTCTCTCTGTGTTCATTTAATTGCACACAATCTCTTTCTGCCCTTGTCACAACGACTTAATCTGTTCACCCTCGCATTCTGGTCTTTACCTGAGTTCTCTTTTCATCTTCGCTTTTCTTTCACTCTTTTCTTTTCTTTCCTTCCCTTTTCTTTCCTTTGCCTCTTCTATTTTTCTATTTTTCCTTTCTCTCTTTGTCGCCTCTTTTCCTCTTCTCTTTTCTTCTCTTTTTCCTCTCTTTTTAGCCTCTTTATCCCTTCTTTTTCTCTTTAATTTCCCTTTTTTTTTCCGTTAAAATTTCCCCTATTTCCTTCTCTCTTCGCCACTCTTTCTCTCTTTCCTCTTCTCTTATCTATTCGCTATTTTTCGTTTCCTCTTTTTCTTTCCCGCTTCTCTTTTCATTTCCTCTTCTCCTCTCTCCCATCTTCATTCTCACACTTTATATTTTTAGTTCTTCGTCTGCTTTTTCTTTTTTTTCTTGTTTATCTTTTCTTTCTCGCTTGCTTCCTTCATTTCTTTCTTTTTCTATTATTTCCCTTCTCATTTATTTTTTCTTTATTTATTTTTCTTTCTTTCGTTTTCTATTTTCCTTTCTTTCTTTTTTCTTTCTTTCTTTTTCCTTTCTTTCTTTTTTTTTCTTTCAGTTCGCCTGGAGGCATCTGGCATCCTCTTTCTATTTTTTCTTTTCATATCTCTTTAAGACACTCTATCCTTTTGCTCAAATTCTCTTTCTTAATCTATGACCTCCGCATTTACTATTTCCAATCTGTCCTCTCACACTCTCTCTCTCTCTCTCTCTTTATTCCTTTCTCTCTCTTTCCTAGGCTCAATTACATTTGAACGCATACGCTTACATATACGTATACGTGCGTGCATGCAAACTTATCCGAGTTGAGCAAAGATTTGAAATCATTATTTTACTCAAATAACTCGATTTTTGATACACGAATCTCTTTCGATAATCCTATCATCATTGCAATCGACATTTTTATTAACCACTTTCCATGTTTTCCACGGAACGCAAAACTCCTGATTTAACCAATTAACTGCAATCATTAAACTCTAAGCTATACTTGTCCTTCCAGTTACCAAACACGAACACTTGAAATATCCCAAGTCTCTTAAAGTATTCTTTGACAATCCAATCGTCCGTTCAGACCAAATTAACTCGACCAAAATTATTTTCTTTCTTGTCTCTCTCTCTGGACCGATCTGAAATTTCCCAAGCGCTGTTGGTGCAAGCATTTTTACCCTCGACAATTCGCTCAGATGTTCCTTAATTAATGCATCAATTAATTGAGCACTTCGTGACCTTATTGGAAACAGATTGCTGACACTCATTCATCAAAAAGTCTAACATAGATTGGCATCAACTGTTTCTTTGTTATCTACTCGTCTAATCTAATCAAAATAAATTATAGAAAACATTTTCCCAAAGTTTGAATTCAATTGAACAATTGGGATTAAAACGGACAATGTTAAATTCTGATAAATATTTTTAAGTTTCTAGCGACGAAAATAAAAAAAAATCTCCCAGTTTGAAAACTTACAAATGAATACAAACCGCAAAAGAATTATTAAATAAACACTGAATCGTTATTTTACAAATTTGATATTAGTAATAAAAGGAAACTCTCACTAATATTCGAAATTGTAGGTTAACGAGCATGAAAGAGGAAAGTGAAAACAATGTTAGATTATCAATAGATCCGAATAATATAATATAATAATAGTTCTTGTCCATTCTTTCATTAGTTCGCACGACCGTTACACCCTGCCATAATGAACTATTCCGTTTTGATCGCGTGGAAATATAAAGAGACGCTATTTGGTTTCATTGAAAAGGAAAGAAGGAAGGAAGGAAGGAGTGAAGGAAGGAAGGAAGGAAGGAAGGAAGGAAGGAAGGAGATAGAGAGGAAAGAAGGAAGGAAGGAGAGAAGGAAGGAAGGAAGGAAGGAGAGAGGGGAGGAAGGAAGGAAGGAAGGAAGGAAGGAAGGAAGGAAGGAAGGAGATAGAGAGGAAAGAAGGAAGGAAGGAGAGAGAAGGAAGGAAGGAAGGAAGGAAGGAAGGAAGGAAGGAAGGAAGGAGAGAGGGAGGAAGGAAGGAGTGAAGGAAGGAAGGAGGAAGGAAGGAAGGTGAAGGAAGGAAGGAAGGAAGGAGAGAGGAGGGAAGGAAGGAAGGAAGGAAGGAAGGGAGAGAGGAGGAGGGAAGGAAGGAAGGAAGGAAGGAGAGAAGGAAGGAGAGAAGGAAGGAAGGAGGAGGAAGGAAGGAAGGAAGGAGAGAGGGAGGGAAGGAAGGAGTGAAGGAAGGAAGGAGTGAAGGAAGGAAGGAAGGAAGGGGAGAGAGGGAAGGAAGGAGTGAAGGAAGGAAGGGAGGAGAGAGGGAGGGAAGGAAGGAATGAAGAAAGGAAGGAGAGAAGGAAGGAAGGAACGAACGAACGAACGTCTCCTGCTAATACCTAATAAAAAAAATGGACAATATCGTTTTGATTACATGAGAAGACAAAAGACATCAAAGAAAATCAGAAAACGAATAAAAGAAAGGTTAGATAAAAGTGTTTACGTCTATGTCATTGAAATGAAAAAAGTTTTCAATCTCATATCTTTTCATTTGTACCCACTTCTTAAAATAACGACCAACATTCATATTTATAATTGTTATGGGAATATTTTGTTAAAGTTGTTAGGCCGAAATATTTAATGATGTGATAGCGGAATTTCTATAAAAATTCTCTTGCCATAGAACACGCCATGAACTGAAAAATTAAGATTCATAAGACATTTCAAATAGGAAAACCGTAAAATTTCGTATTAATAATTCTACTTGTCTATCCCTAACTTAACATGACCGTTACGCTATGAAAAATACCCCATAAATAAAGGACTATTCCGTTTTGATCGTGTGGAAAGATGGAAAAGACATATCAGAGACGCTACTTGGTTTCAGAGAGAATATTAAAGAAAGACAGAAAGAAAGAAAAATGATAGGAAGATAGAAGTATTTAACATTTGTTTCAGTGAAATGGAAAATGTCGTCAATTTCAAATCTTTTTATTTGTATCCCCTTATTTCTTAAAATAACAATCAACATTCATATGTATTATTATTGTTGTAATACTGAGATGCAATAGGGAAATTTCTACGGGTATTTCATTGCCGTAGAACTCAACATGAGCTTATTGAATCATAATCTTAAGAACTTAAGATTCATCACAAAATTCAAATAGATAAAACGTAAAATAATAATACGAATGGAAACATCAAGAATTCAAATACAGTTGATGGTCTTGCGAATGGAGATAACATTTTTAATTAAATTAAAATAGAAAGCTCAAACTGGTTCAATAGTTTTTTCTCTTCATTAGGTGTAATTTTTTTGTTCATTTTCAAATACCCATAAAATATTGGAATTACAACACGTTTTAATTACATACGATATCCACAAATTAACAAAAGAAAAGAAAAGAAATATATATATATATATATATATATATATATATATATATATATATATATATATATATATATATATATATATATAACACTAATGAGTAGTGGCTCGGACTGAGGGGTCGGAGAGTTCGAATTCAGTTGAATTCATTACATTCACTTACGTGCTAATACCCAAGGGAAAGGTATGAATCCTGTTCTTCTCCCTCCAGCTATGGGTAATTAGCAGGACAGACTGGGTTCTATAGCCTTGGATAGCAACTCGTCCAGCAGAAGGACAACTCTGAATTCAAAACCTGCTGAGCTTCGTTTGGGGACCTCGTAGCATGTAGTGCACCAGGTCTCTGTATTCAGCCCTTCAAAAAAGTGTGGTTGCTTCTGCATAAAACCATCACCACTATAATCATTTTTGCTGGTGTTTGACTGTCGGTTTCTAGGAACTGATTTGCTGACCCTCATACGTCGAGAGTGTCCACCATATATATATATATATATATAATAATCGACTCTCCCGTCGAGATTCGACGTATGAGGGTCAAGCAGAACAGTTTCCAGGAAACCGACAGCCCGACACCGGCACATGAGATTTGATTATAGTGCTGAAGGCCTCGTGCAGGACCATCCACACTTTTTGAAGGGACGAATAGAGAGACCTGGTGCACCGAATGCCACAAGGTTCCCAAACGACCCTCCGCTGGTTTTGAATTCAGAGTTGTCCTTCTCCTAGACCAGTTGACATCCAAGGCTATAGAACCTAGTCTGTCCTGCTATTTTACCCATAGCTGGAGGGAGAGGAAGAGGATTTATACCTTTCCCAAGGATATTAGCACATAAGTGAATGTAATAGATTCGACTGAATTGAACTCGGCTCTCCGATTCCTCAATCCAAGCTATCCATTACTCCACAGTGTGTGTGTGTGTGTGTGTGTGTGTGTGTGTGTGTGTGTGTGTGTGTGTGTGTGTGTGTGTGTGTGTGTGTGTGTGTGTGTGTGTGTGTGTGTATATATATATATATATATATATATATATATATATATATATATATATATATATATATATATATATATATATATATACAGAAACGTTTTCGACGAATGAGGGTACAGCAACTCAGTTTTTGGAACCGAACTATCCACACATGATCTGATTATAATAATAAAAGCTTGTGTAGAACCAACTAACCTTTTTTTTGAAGAGCCGAATACAGAGAACTGGTACGCATTGTGTGTCACAAAGTCACCAGACATATATATATATATATATATATATATATATATATATATATATATATATAACAATTTTCTGGTTTCAGTGTGTTATATATATATATATATATATATATATATATATATATATAAAACAAGCAGACAGGCACTTTATTCTAGTCGTCGATTCTGATAAGATAATTTAATTTGTAGCACTTCTTATCCTCAGAAATCCCAATGCATTTCCTTACACACAATTTTGTCTTTCATTCTGACCTGAAGATGTCGAAAGCAGCAGACGTTCGGTGAAACGCGTCATTTATAGATTTTTCACTTAATTTCACTATCTTCACTTTTGTTTCAGATACTATTATACATCCTACACACACATATGATTTTGTCTACAATGTCACTAGACTGGAGAAGTCGAAAGCAATTTAATGGAAATCTGTCAAGGTAAGTTTCATTGCAATCGTATGTCAAAAATCAGGAGAGGCAATGGTTTGGCGCCAAAATATTTTTCCGACGCAGGGAAATTCGAAAGCCAATCAAATCTATATTTTTCTCTGTTTAAGTGTGGCAGTGTGGAGTGAGGGTATTACAATGCTATATCCTTTTTTTATTTTTTGTACACTTTTTTTTTTTAAATTTAAGTTTTGTTCATAGATTAAGCGATTTTTTTACACTTATGTTCACACTTTACATGGCCCAAGAGACACTTAAGGTAGTGGGTTATGCACGTAAGAAGGGCAAACAAATGCATGTTTATGAGGTTATGTGAGAGAAATAAGTGTTAAAGACTTGAAAATGTTAAGATTATATTGATCGGGAAAACATCCTGTTGGGAGCTTGTTCCAACCGGATCTTTTCTCGATCATTACAATCTTAACCTCCTTTACTTCTATGTCTCTATACATTTCTATTTGGATTTTGTTTTGGAACAACGAAAGCGTTTTATTTTTTTCTTAGCATTACTAATTGAACAGATTACACGAAAACAAGACTGCCAAGATGGATAACTACCGTAGAGATCTGTTAAAAAAAGCTTGCCAGCATCTATACGGGCCCACTCAATTTTTAATTCATTTATTGTACATAAAATGGAGTGTCCGGTTACATATGCATAATTATCCTTTTGATTGATAAACATAGTATTTTACTTAAGTTAGGTACCTCCACGAGATCG